AAACAATCAGGATCTTCAGAGACATTTGAGAACCTTGACACAACCCATCATAGAGTATCTCTAGAATGGTGCAATCCTAAAAAAAGATAAAGCATTCAAGATGAGGATCTCATGCTTTTGTGAATATCCATGGAGTATTATACAAGAAATTCATAACAGGTCCATATCTAAGATGAAGAAGCCATGGATGTTCTAAATACATACTTGAAAGGGACTATGGCAACCACACTGGGGGCAGATCCTTGTGTTCTAAAACGTTAGGAACAAGATATGTTTGGCCAACCATGAAGAAAGATACCTTCTAGAATGCTTAGAAGTGTGATAACTATCTCATTGATTTAGAAGCAAGAATGAGGGCATATTGGCTAGCTACCATAGAAGGAAGCATCTTGCCAAAATCCTAAAATGCTATACACCTTACGGAATACTTTGTGTAGATCAATTGATTTACAATTCATCACAACCGATTCAAGGTACATAACTACTCCTTACCGCCATTTCTTTTCTTTGTTTTTTTTTCATTCTAAGAATATTACTGAGTTAAGCATCAGAAGGATATTAGCCTAGCTAACTCCTACCCCCAGAAAACATTTGCAACATGCAGAAACTCAAGAAAGCAAGCCACTACAAATAGAGACTGATCATCTCTCCTCCGATTAAGAGTACTTAATCCCCTTTAAGGTTTAAAGAGGTAATAACCTATTTCATTCGTTTTTGGGTTTTTACACCTCACTTGGACGCACGATCTCTGACTACAGGATGTGAATAAGGGGATTATTTCACGCTTAAGTGACTTGGCAACCCTCTTATTTCTAAACACATGCTAGGATCCAAAGGTTAAAACAGTTAATGACCTCTTTCACAGGAGTTAAGGTTTTCACAACTCGCTTGGATGCATGATATCTGACTATGGGATTCGAATAAGGGAATCATTTCTCACTTTAATAACTTGACAGCCCTTTTATTTCCAAACATATGTTAAGATCCTAAATTTTAAATCTAAGGTTTATAACATTAACATATTATTCTAAGATGGATCCTCCCTAGGAAACTTTTTAGGTAAACATTAAAATGGTATCCTATGTTGGGATCCTCCATAGGAAATTTCAATGGTCTATAACATTATCATTCTATCTTACAAGTTGAGATTTTCCCTAGTGATTTTCATGCTATCATACGATTTGAAATTTATACAGTTTATAACCTTCTAGTGATTTTCCTACTTTTTAAACCAAAACTTATATCTTTTAATCTCTCAGGATCCTAACTATTTCAAGATCATGATCAAGTAGCTTTCTATCTCAGATCTTTAGAATCCCAAAAAAGTTTTTAAATCCTAAACTCCTTAGGGTCCTGATCATCCAGGAACCCTTATAAAAACTTGTTTTAACCCTATTTCCATAACCAAATCAATTGTAGAAGAAAAGAGATAAACCAAAGCATCGGAAATAATAGTGTTTGCCCTCCGACCCAACAATAATGAAAATATTGTTTCACATACCAAAAAGTTAAAATTGTTTTTAAATTTTATCAAACATAATTCAAGGTTTGATCATTCCTAGCTAGGATATCTTCTTTCTCTTACTTTTCTTCTTCTCTACATGATCCTAAGCAGCCTCGATAGGTTTACTAGGGCTTCATGCCAACATGCCACATTCCAGGATTCTGCATTCTTCATATCCTCCGCTAGCTTCATCTTTTCCTCTTAGACAGCTTCAACGGTGCTGCTTCTAACCTCAGCAATCACCTCTTCGATCCGCAACACATGCTCCTCCTCTTTCTCTAGTTTCTCCTTGCTTAGTTTCTAAACCCTCTGCAAAATCTCCCTGTTGAACCTATCTTGCTCCTTTAAATCATATTCCGCTCAATCAAGCCTAACCTTCAGATATTCGGTGGATGAAGAAACGTTATCAACAACATCTTAAAGACTAATGTATGTAAATTGATGCCATACAGGAAAAAGCTCAAACATACTTATAGGTTTCAAGTAAGTGATCAACTTCCTCAACACATCCTCCACTCCAAGGTTCTTCAAATCCAAGGTCTCAACCGACTTTCTCTTCCAGGATCCTAGAGTCGTGACTATCAGATCTATCAATGTTCTCTTTTGAGGAGTGAAGATGAGGTCTTCTCCTTCTTGGCCACAAGCTAACCACCATAAATAGCAGAGTCAATATTAACAAGCGTGAACAGAACAATAGAGCATGTAACATTGGATCCTAAACATAACAAAAGAACTACATAAGCTCAGGATCTTTCATGAAAAACATAAAATCGACAGACAAAAAATCTCTACCTATCGACATGTAGTAGTAATAGTGGATAAACTCTTCTGAATGTTGTATTATTCAAACCTGAAGGATCCTTTAGTCTCGGGAAAAGCAAGGAAACTCCCAATCTTCTCCTTGATATCGTCAGCACCAGGGAGGGGATCCTCGAACCAACAATCTGCATAAAAATTAATAAAAAATCAAAGTGTGAATTTCAGATCCTTGACGAAATAAAATAAAATCCTACCATTTCTAACCTAATTTCTTGGCAGGAGATTCGGGGATGAATTCATGTTTTACAAAGAAATATTTCTTTCCAAGATCCATTGTTTTGTTTCAGAATAAGATGTGATTTATTTGTACTGACTTTGAGTAGGAAACGAGAAGACCCAAAAGTTTAGAGATCATAAACATCGGCCGACTCAACTAATCCTACACAAATCTCCTTAGATTGATTCAATTGATCAACCTAAAACAAGATCCTTCATATCACATGCATAGTTTGGATGGAAGAAAACCCAAGTAGGAGAGATGAAGTCACGTTGGGCCATAGCATCAAAAGGATTGAAAATCACATCGATAGGAAAATCTCGATCTATTTCAAGGGCTTAGTGTCGTTATCATCAAAAGAGCAAGTCCTTTCGTAAAACATGATCTTTTGATCGAGGAAGTCTTCATCAGGAATGGTAAGGATGCTCGAGCAAGAATGGAGTGCCTTTTTACCCGTACTCATCAAACAAGAAAAATGAGAAGAACAGAACAAGAAATTTACCTTTAAGAGAACCGATAACCCTTGAAAGAGAGCTAAAAGAAGTAACATAAGATCAGTAACCATTAACCCCTTTTTATTCGGATCATAGAGGATACAAAAGAGATTTGACAACATAATCACATCTTTTGAACAAATACAGTTCTATCTGTTAGAGTTTGAATTTAAAATCCTTTATTTCCAATTAATTAAATTATACACTTTAAATACTTGAAATTAATTCAAATATTTTGTAGGTATATTTTGGGGGCAATTTTTAAGGCCAAGATCCTCAATCCTATCAAGCAACCCAGATCTCAAAGATAGTTACGAATCCTTAAACCTATCCAGGATCCGAGATCTTAAAGGACTATCAGGATATCGAACATACATCAGGATCCTGAACATCACCATTATTATTTCCTAACAAGTTTAATGGGTGTATTTCTTGTTTATTTGTCACATGTGCAAAAATGGTCTACATAAGAGTCATTCTCAATGAAGAAACATTCCAATGAGGCTTAAGATCCGGAAATTCCATGTCAAAGCACGTTGCAAATACCAGTTTAGTAAGATCCTAGAAATATCGGACATTTAGTTACTTAACCTAGACTATAAATACACTTGTAAAACTCATACAATGGGCACAACTCTCTGACACCTTACTCATCTATACTCACTTTATCATTTGTAATTGTATTATCAAGCTCATTTTTGTAATTTCTATTCAAATCAGAAAGATCATACGAGGAAGGTGATCATTATCACCTATCAAGGTTTTACGCCGGAGATCCTAGCAAGGATCAAGGGCTTTCCTTGTAAATCTCTTTTGTTATCTTGTTGTCAATTCACCATTTGCATTAATCATAACAGCACAGTCTCTCATGTAATTTGGATGATATTCACTTAGTCGATTTTTTACCAAAGCACCTACCTTGATTAATCAAAAAAAATGCATCATCCTTACCTTTTCCTCACCGTACAACTTCATGCCATCAGTTCTAGTTGTGTTTCTACAAATCTTCCTAATAAGTGGTTGGAGACCTTGAAAAAAAATCTCTAAAGCCATTATGTTTAAAAATTATAAGGGGGTAACATGTATTTTGATCATTTTAGCAAGATTAGGTCATGAATAATCATAATTAAACCGATGTGTTGCTAAAATTGATCCTCCATTTTCATCTGCCTTAGATCTTTTTCTGGTTAACTGACTCAGAAATCATAAATTTTCTTTTGTCCAGTTCGTATTTTGCATGCCTTATGGTGAGCATGCATCATGTTGGTTCCATTTTTGCTTATATACATAATTTCCTTTCTACAATACTTACAAACAATTATTTTGGTTCCGTTAACATCTTCATAGGTGAGATGACTCCACATTGGAGATTTAAATTTCATTTTTTTCTCATTATAGTCAACTACAGAATTGGTGGTATCATTAACCGTGTTTAAATCATTGGGTTAATTCTGCTTTAAAGACATGATTACATAAATCTGAAAATGGTTCACCCAAAAACAGAAATCAGCATTACACTAAAAAAAATCAGAATTACCATATCAGTATTACTATATCAACAGTACAAAAACTAGCATTACCTTATCAGCATTACATAAATAAGTTAGAAGTTCAACATCAGATTTAGATAAACTCAGTGATAAGTTCAATTACACTTAAATCACAAAATTGTGAATGAATAAAACACAAACATTCATATGATAAAGAATTAAACCAAACTCATTTGAATGTAATTAACAAACTCAGAAAATCAATGTTGCAAGAAATCAGAAACAACGTGTTTATACTCCATATGATATAGTGAAATAGTGTTGCAAGATCCAAAAAATAAACAATAAGCTAGAAAATGACAAACTCATTGACTATTTGACAGAAAATCAGTAAATTTAAACTTCACAGAGGAAAACAAACATTGGAAGATTCACAATTGAAGACTTGAAGAGGATCAATCAGAAAGCATGCTAACCTATTCGGTTTCAAATTGTATAGAGGGGATGTGAGGCAATGTGTCATTAGATGTTAAAGTTGAGGCCTGAGGCCTGAAAAATCAATTACAGTCTTACATGAAGAATCTCAGTAGATTAAGAACAGCAGAAGTATATCGCCACTCGACAGCGGAAGCCGACCAACAGAAGAAGGAACCTGATGAGTGATGATGATTTTCCGTTGGGTGTTGGGTAGAGATGGTCAATTTTATCGATATAGCATATGGTGTGAATGTGAAGTGTAAAAGTTAGAAACCCTAAAACTAGATAACTTATTATATATATATATATATATATATATATATATATATATATACACACACACACACACTTTTACATTAAATATATATTTTTTATATAAATATACAAAAAGGTTGTTAGGGCCAGGTTCCTCAAAGCCTTCAGGATCCTCAAACGTTATCAGATATTCAGGATCCTCAACTATCACAGGGTGCCAACTATTATCGTTATTATTATATACTAACATTTATAACAGTTATATTTCATTCTTAATTAACACATGTGCAAAAATAGTCAAGAGAAGACTTATTCTCCATAGAGTGTCATCTAAACTATGCTAAAGACTTGGAATACGAAGTCAAACAACGTTCACAAGGATGGTCATACAGGTTCCCGGGAATATCGAACATCTTGTTAGCTAGTGTAGACTATTAATTGACACATGTATCTCACACACTACTAGAAAAACAACCTTTTATGACGCGCAATGTGTGTCATAAAACACTCAGACGATGTGCAAATGCGTGTCAAGGAAGGCCCTGTCATAACGAGAGACAACACGCTTTTGAGCATCATCTATTTACAACACGCATTTACGACTCACAATTATGACACACATTTAAGACGCACGTTTACGACACACATTGCGTATCAAGGATGGCCCTGTCATAAAGGAAGATGGTACGCATTTGTGTGTCGTAACCTTACCACGCGCATTTACGACTCGCATTCCATATTATTAAAGCCCATGTCAAGAAAGGCCAGGTCATCAATGAAGATGACACACATTTTTGCGTATCATAATTTTAAATGTTTAAAAAAAATATTCTTTATAGATTTACTAATTTTCAAATTAAATTTGCATTTCATGTTTCATAATAGAAAATAAAATACCATATATAAAAAATATATTAAATTGCACAAAAGTTAATGTCATACAAAAATACAATACATTGTAATACATTGGTATTAAGGGGATCTGATTGTACATTGCTATTAAGATGTTTTCTTTAACTATATAACCTATTCGTATAACCAAGTCCAAATGAAAGTATCCACGACCTTCTTCCAACTGTGTTAGATTCCGAACGAATTAACCTATATATTAATAAAAAAAATAACATTAGCATATAGCAATAAATAATAATAACATCCATAAGATAAGTAAGTAGCCTTGCCCTGTTCGTTTTTCTTCCTCATTAAACTGCACCTCACGTGCCTCCTCTTTTGATGTCTTTTGTTTATCTAGATTAACCAAAAAAAGAAAAAAGCAAAATATAAATACATTTGCTTATGTTTAACAAAGAGATAATAAAAAAAATAAAGCACTTGCCAGACTTTTTTGTTGGTTTCCCTGCATCTTTCTTCCCCACAGCAGAACCCTCTTTGCCACCAGTGTCTCGCCTTCCAAAATTGGAGTTGCCATTTTCCTGAACATGCTTTATGTCATTATCATTGCTTAAGGAATTATATATAAGAGAATTAATTAAAATATGATGTTATTGTCATCACCATGTTGTCATTGTTCTCATAAGTCTTGAAGCGGCCTATTGCTTGTTTCAAGTTATTAGAAGCTACAGACTCTGCAATATAAATTCCATGCTCAATGGATAGCATCTCTTCAGGGGTACGGAAAATCTGCATGAAATCAAGAAAATCAAAGAATAACAAAAGTTTTATTTTCAACCATGATTGGTGTTTATACTATGCTCATTGAGATATCAATTTCTGATAGCAAATCATGTGCGCCCCTATCAGGGAAACTTTTCATGTGTTGAAAATGATCAAATGTCAAGTGTTATAAAACAATAAAAGTTGCTTTGAAAGTTCATAAAAAAAATAAAATAAATTACCTTTTCGAATTATGCATAAACTTCTGCATGAGCTATACTCATCAACCCCATTGGTCCAAGCAAACCCTACATATTATACAACAATCAAGGGTTAATAATAATTAATAATATATAAAAGATTTTATCAATCACACTAGACATAAAATCTTAATCTTAAGAGAAAATTACTCTTCCCATAAAATGTTTCCACAACCATAGAAACTAAAATTACCTGACACAAGTGACTGACATCAACCATTATCTGTCCGATGACATCAAAACCATAAGCTTGCAAACACTTTTGCAATCTCTAAGAAAAAGATAATAAAAAGAGGTGACATAAGTCATCAATATGTTTATAGAGATCTAGCAAGGTAATGGTCCTTTCAAGGTCAAATCCAAATAGGTCATCAATATGTTTATTGTAAGGACTCAATAAGTCTGTTTAAAGGTTATTATTAAAGACTTATCTACCATACTGATGACTTATCTAGCAAGGTAATGGTCCTTTAAAGGATATCATTAATGACTATTGGAATCTCCTCTTAGCTACAAAAAAGTTGTGTACATGCTATATCACTAGTATCAGCCCATAGTTATCCTGATCTTTTCTTGATGTGACATATATAAATTTACACATCAGCATCAAAGTTTCCTGGTAAAATAGTTATAGTCTAGAAAAATAATCAAATACCTATTAAACAAAATCTGCAGCGCCTTTACGTAGGGGCTTTTGAAAACCTAATGACTCAAATAACTCAAGCACTTGTTCTTGGGGACCTTCATATACCACATGACCTTCTGATAATACCACCAGATCATCAAAGATATCAAAATTTTCAGGTGTAGGCTAAAGAAGCGCCATCAAAACTATGGCTTCCATTTGATGAACAAAATTCTTTATGCATTTCACAATTTGATACGTTGTTGAGCTATCTAGTCCAGTTGATAAGATAAAAAGTAATCAGTAAAAAAATATTAACACCCATAATCAATGATTCAAGAATCCATCTTACAAACCTTATTTCAGTAAATTATTCCTGTCAAAAATAAGATAAAAAGAATCAGTAAAAAAATATCAACACTCGGAATGAATGATTCCACAAGTAAAAAAAACTTACATCGGAATCAAAACACTACAAAGGGCTTCTGGAATCAGCTTTACCATGAGAATAGGGTGATGATGCTGATGCTTTCTCATTTCCTCCTCCTTCAGGGCTTCTGCTTCTAGAAGGTGACCTACTCCTACATGGAGAAGGCTTGCTTCTTAGTAATCCATCAGTTTATTGACACATCACATGATAAGGGCATTCTAGTCTTTTCAACACTGGTACTTCTATGTAAGTAACAAACACATATAGAATAGTAAATAGTCCATCAGGTTCCTAACAAAGCATTAACTTTAAATAGACATTTTTTTACAAATGTTATTTTCAATGATAAGGGTATCTACGTCTTGGGCTTCTCTTATCATCATAATCACCATCATCTCAACCCCTCCGGTGTGTTCTATGATAATCAGGGCTCCTACTCCTACTGCGGGTCCTACTTCTATAACAATCTCTATCCCTTCCATAATATATGTCCCTGCTTCTGCTGCGAATTCTCCTCCTGTAGCCCCTGTATTCATCTTTATACCTGGAACTACATTGGGTAAACATCAACTCCAATACAAGGGTGGAATGGTCAAAACTACATTCTCATCATACATTGGTCTAGGACTTTGGCTCCTTGATTTGAGTGTAAGAAGGACCTGTGAGCCATATCATGCAGTAGAAGATGCTGACTTTTTTTTTCATCAAGGAACCTCACAAAGCTCCTAAGAAAGTAGATCAAAGAAAAAAAAATGAAATTTTATTTCTTTTTCTTGCAATTAACTCTGAAAACTAAAACTAAAACTCAGAATAGCCCACACGAATTACAAGTTTCTCAAAGACAAAATAACCTGAAATAAAATGTTGTTTATCAACAATGAAATAAGAAGAAGTACAAAAACAATGCAGAATGATAGTCTAAAATCTTAAATAAAATGTTGTTTGTCTAATCCAAAAGGTGTATTTAAAGGGTGTACTAATCTCACTGCCATTCTAATAGTCATTTCAAGAAGACACATTTTGGCAAACACACTACATGTTAGATCTAATAAATAATAAAACAAATAACCTCATCAATAGTCTGATTTTTAAGATTGTGATGCAGAAACATGTTTATCTTTATAAGATTCCAAGAGGGTTGTTGAGGATCTACAAAAAGGGCGCGATTAATGAGAGATGGAAGTTCAAGAAAACAAAAGATTGTTAGGTCAACAAGTCAACAAGTACCTATTAGCTGCTTTTGTCCCGATTAACTGGAATTCAAGTATGTATTAGAAGCATCTTCCTCACCAGATGCTTCATGTAACTCCAACTCCTTGTTTATATCAGCATTCAATTTTTCTTGAAGAATTGAACAATCCCCAAAGATTTTATCCATGTTGTCCTTAAAAATTCTTCACGTTATAAAATTTGAAGTAGATAATTTCAGTAGCAATTTATTTGACATAGCGAGTCAGTATCGCAATCTAGAAATAGGCTCGTGTTAAGAAAATACATCAAATTGATAAATACACAGATAGAAATTTTACATGCGTTGGGAGGAAACATTGATGGAAGAGACAGTGAGGTAGAGTTGATGGATGGTTCCTAGGGTTTTCTAAGTTGAATTAGTGACTTGGTTTAGGTTTTGATTGGGATCGACGGATGAAGAGGTAGTTGTCGTAACTATTGACTCAGCAGGTGAAGCATCATTGTGATGGTGGTAGATGGTTTTAGGTTTTTTCTCATAGAGTTATGGAAGCAGAGCTGAATAGAAGGTTGTGATGGTGGTAGTGGAGGCGGTAGGTTGTTCCGTGGTAACAAAAGAGGAGAGAGAAGAAGAGGGAGAACAACATTTACCTTGAAGACAGATATCAACGAGGTCAACACCATAAGATTTCGCCGAATTCATTTGAATTAAAATCTGATCCACCGTATCCGCCATTATCGGTGCACAAATTAGGGTTGAATTCCACCTAATCCCTTCACGTCCACCCATCTTCTCGATAGCAGGTGGCGTTACCTGGCGAAAAAATGTCAATGAAACTTAAATGCCCAAACTCGAATAAACAAAAGAATACATCGCGTCTTGGGAGAATGCAATAAAATCAACTCATAATTACTCAAACCTAATTTCCAAATTCGTATTCAAATCAATCCCCTCGAAGCTCTTTCAGTGTAGAAATGAAAATAGACGTGCATAAAGAGATAAAGATAGATTGGAGGCGCTGAAGGTGTGTGAAGATGAAGACATAGGGATTCTTTATTTGGAAGAGGGTGGATTTTTAATTTTTTAGATAAATTAGGCGATAGTTGAAAATCCCTAGTTGTTGGTCGCCATTTTGTGATCTTCAGGAATGAACGTGAGTAGAGATGGTATCGTGATTAGGGTTTACCGAGAGGAGGGAAGAAGAGAACGAAGGGGGATCTTGAAGCGGGGTATTTAAAAAATTTTAAAACGCGCGTTTTGAGTAAAAATCATAAAGAGACGTTCATAGAGGACACACATTTTAGATAAAGTGCCCTACATGTTTTTAATTTTGTTTTACATAAGACACTAATTTAAGGGCACACAATAATGCGTGACCTAAATCCTTAAATTTTTTGAAGAGATGAGACTTTTTTAATTTCACTCTCTTTTGGGTAACATAAATCAATGAGTGTCATGGTTTGCGCATCGTAAAAGGGTCTTTTTCTTGTAATGACACCACACATTCTACCCACTCTGAGCTTACTCTAAGAACTTTTTCACTTGTTCTTACTGAAATACTCTTTGTAATCATCATTTTATATTAATAAAATCATCAAGGCAGGTGATCGTTATCATCTCCCAAGGTTTTGTGCTAGAGAACCTAGCAAGGATCAAGGGATTTCCTTGTAAAAAATCATGTCATTCTCTTTACCTTTATCTATTTCACAATTCGAACGACACAACCTCTCATTCAATTTGTTTGATTTATACTTGTGTAACTTTTTACCAAAACAATTTTGATGCCCGCCGTGGGGTCGTGGTGTTTAAAATCCTTGAAAGATCATGTCTACACAACTGATCCTTTCTTCATACTCCGCTCCTTCCATTCCAACAAATAACCTGCCACCTCCTTCGAGTGGAACCCCTGGTTAGAGGACAACGCCTGTAGCTGCGAAGAGAAACACCCCTCTAGTCACTAACCAAGGAAGTTTGGTATCCTTAGGACTCGAGGATCCAACTGGTCTGGTCGCTACTACTGAATTCTTCGCTATGATGAGTAAAATGATGCAACAGATGACTAAGCAGCAAGAAGATGATAGAACACTACTTAGACAAGTGGAGAGGATGAAGGTGGAGTTTCATAAATCCCAGGAAATGATGCCGATAGTTGTACAACCAAGGATCCTGAACTTTGACAACTCAGGATCCTCAGGAAATCAACAGGAGAACACAGCTCGTGCTAGTGTTGCATCACCCTGGGGGAGAACTATGAACAATTGAGAATCTTTGATCAATGATCTCAATGAGCCTTTCAATACAACTAGAAAACTTAATTCTAGTAACTTCTTGAATAGAAATACTATCAATACTAACTCTACGAATGTTGATGCAGGAATAAGTCCAAACATGGCTAAGGAACATCAATAGTTGAGATAAATGATCTCAAGCGTACCCGGGATAGTTCAACCCATAACAGAAGCATCCCCAAGAAGTCATGGGATCTCGAGATTTGCTTCTGCAATAGCCGATACTGAAGTTCTTAAGCACTTTCAGACTCCTATCATGAAGCCTTACGATGGAACTAAGGATCCTGAAGAGCACGTAGCACAATACTGGTAAAGGATGGAGATCATCCCCATCCTAGTGCACTTGAAGGAGGTTTTCCTATGCAAATGCTTAGGTTCAACCCTCATGGGATCAGCTCTAAAACGGTTGCTAAACGTTCCTACCTATTATATTACATCATTTGCACATTTGTTCAATATTTTCAATAAGTAGTCATCGTGTAGTAAAACCTTTGAGAATATCACTAGAGATCTCTATTGGGTGGTTTAGGATCCTAAGGAACAACTTACGGATTTTCTTAACAGGTTTTACATGGAAGCTCTGAGAATCCCAAACATTGACATGTCGATTACTGTAGAGGCCTTTAAAATGGTTCAAAGGAAGGATTCACCCTTTTATATAGATCTCGTGATGACTCCATGAAAGAGATTCAACGAAGTAAAGTGTCAAGCAATGACATTCATAAGGCTTGAAGAGGATAAAGAAGTCCAGAAGAGGAGCAACCCATCAAGTCAATACAGGAATCCCAATAGGAAGGTCGAATCCCCAACCCTAAGATCCTACAAATTGAAGCCTTATTCCAAACTAGATCATCACAGGGTTAATGCCCTCGAAGATGATGGTGGTAGAAGGTTTTAGGTTTTTTCTCATAGAGTGATGGAAGCAGAGCTGAGTATAAGGTTGTGATGGTGGTAGTGGAGGCGGTAGCTTGCTCCATGGTAACAAAAGAGGAGAGAGAAGAAGAGTGAGAACAACGATTAACTTGAAGACAAATATCAACGAGGTCAACACCATAAGATTTTTCCGAATTCATTTGAATCAACATATGATCCACCGTATCCGCCATTATCGGTGCACAAATTAGGGTTGAATTCCTCCTAATCCATTCGCATCCACCTATCTTCTCGATAGCAGGCGTTACCTGGCAAAAAAATGTCAATGAAACTTAAATCCACAAACTCGAATAAACAAAAGAATACATCGCATCTTAGGAGAATGCAGTAGAATCAACTCATAATTACTCAAACCCAATTTCCAAATATGCATTCAAATCATTCCCCTCGAAGCTCTTTCAGCGTAGAAATGAAAATAGACATGCATAAAGATATAAAGATAGGTTGGATTAACACATAAGCGTTGGAGGCGCTGAAGGTGCGTGAAAACGAAGACTTAGGGATTCTTTCTTTGGAAGAGGGTGGATTTTTAATTTGTTAGATAAATTAGGTGGTAGTTTAAAATCCCTAGTTGTTGGTCGCCATTTTGTGATCTTCAGGAATGAACGTGAGTAGAGATGGTATCGTGATTAGGGTTTGTAGAGAGGAGGGAAAAAGAGAACGAAGTGGGATCTTGAAGCAGGGTATTTAAACAATTTTAGAACGCACGTTTTGAGTAAAACTCATAAAGAGACATTCACAGAGGACGCACATTTTAGATAAAGTGCTCTCCGTGTTTTAAATTTTTTTTTTACATAAGACACTAATTTAACGACACACAATAATGTGTGACCTAAATCCTTAAATTTTTTGAAGAGATGACACTTTTTTAATGTCACTCTCTTTTGGGTAACATAAATCAATGAGTGTCGTGGTTTGCACGTCGTAAAAGGTTCTTTTTCTTGTAATGACACCACACATTCTATCTATTCTGAGCTTACTCTAAGAACTTTTTCACTTGTACTTACTGAAATACTCTTTGTAATCATCATTTTATATTAATAAAATCATCAAGGTAGGTGATCGCTATCATCTCCCAAGGTTTTTTGCTAGAGAACCTAGCAAGGATCAAGGGCTTTCCTTGTAAACAATCATGTCATTCTCTTTACCTTTATCTTTTGCACAATTCGAACGACACAACCTCTCATTCAATTTGGTTGATTTATACTTATGTAACTTTTTACCAAAACAATTTTGGTGCCCACCGTGGGGTTGTGGTGTTTAAAATCCTTGAAAGATCATCTCTACACAACTGGTCCTTTGTTCATACTCTGCTCCTTCCGTTCCAACCAAAAACCTACCACCTCCTCCGAGTGGAACCCCTGGTCAGAGGAAAACGCCTGTAGCGATGAAGAGAAGCACCCCTCTAGTCAGTAACCAAGGAAGTTTGGGATCTTTAGGACTCTAGAATCCGACTGCTCTGGTCACTACTATTGAACTCTTCGCTATGATGAGTAAAATGATGCAACAGATGACTCAGCAGCAAGAAGATGATAGAACACTAATTAGACAAGTGGAGAGGATGAAGGTGGAGTTTCGTAGATCCCAGGAAATGATGCCGATAGTTGTACAACCAAGGATCCTGAACTTCGACAACTCAGGATCCTCAGGAAATCAACAGGAGAACACAGCTCGTGCTAGTGTTGCATCACCCTGGGGGAGAACTATGAACAATTGAGAATGTTTGATCAATGATCTCAATGAGCCTTTAAATACTCCTAGAAAACTTAATTCTAGTAACTTCTTGAATAGAAATACTAACAATACTAACTCTACGAATGTTAATGCAGGAATAAGTCCAAACATGGTTAGGGAACATCAATAGTTTAGATAGATGATCTCAAGCGTACCCGGGGTAGTTCAACCCATAACATAAGCATCTCCAAGAAGTCATGAGATCTCGAGATTTGCTCCTGCAATAGCCGATACTAAAGTTCCTAAGCGCTTCCAGACTCCTATCATGAAGCCTTACGATGGAACTAATTAAGGATCCTGAAGAGCACGTAGCACAATACTGAGAAACGATGGAGATCATCCCCATCCCAGTGCACTTGAAGGAGGTTTTCCAATGCAAATGCTTAGGTTCAACCCTCATGGGCTCAGCTCTAAAATGGATGCTAAACGTTTCTCCCTATTATATTACATCATTTGCACATTTATTCAATATTTTCAATAAGCAGTCATCGTGTAGTAGAACCTTTGAGAATATCACTAGTGATCTCTATTGGGTGGTTCAGGATCCTAAAAAACAACTTAGGGATTTTCTTAACAGGTTTGACATGGAAGCTTTGGGAATCCCCAACATTTACATGTCGACTACTTTGGAGGCCTTTAAAATGGCTCAAAGGAAGGATTCACCCTTTTATGAAGATCTCGTCATGACTCCATGAAAGAGATTCAACCAAGTTAAGTTTCAAGCATTGACGTTCATAACGCTTGAAAAAGATAAAGAAGTCCAGAATAGGAGCAACCCTTCAAGTCAATACAAGAATCCCAATAGGAAGGCAGAATCCTCGGCTCTAAGATCCT